TGGGATTACTGGTGTCTGGAGAGATGGATCTCTTTTATGGTCTCTATCATGGCTGTTCTCAACTACCTGGCTGAATTGTCCTCTCAGGATAAGTTGTATGGGGCCATTTACGTATTAGGTCAGCTAGTTCGATGGCTCATGTACCTTCTCAAGATTCTGGCATTGGTAAGGACTGCAGTCTACTTCGAGGGGTATGCCTTACGGGAGGCGTACCTCTTGCTATTCCTCAGTTTAAGTTGTATCGCTTGTTCTGCGTTTCCTGATGGAGTGGCCTGATGACAAGGATTTGTCTTTGCGCCAGCTTTTCCGCTTAACCGGCTCTCCCGGTACGACTTGCATTTTTTCGTCACGTTCTGATGTTCATGGTTTTGTAGTATATTTTTCCTTCTCACCGTCCGGTGTGTCTGCTTCTATTCCGTACAAATCTAAATTCTATTCGTCTTCTGTGTCGTATCCCTATTCTCCAGATCCAGATGATCGTGTAGATCCAGGACCTCATCCTTTCTTCCTTCTGCTCATGGGCAGCTGTTGATTTCTACGTACAACCGTTTAGGGCTGTTTCTGCAGCTTCGCTCGCTGGATTTGGTGGATTCTCTCATCGGCTGGCTTTGCGAGTTCCTTTGGGACACATTTGGTTCGGGGTGCTGTCACTTCAGCAGCTTTAGAAGCCGTTGGGTCCCTTCTGGATTTTCTCTGCACCGCTGTTTGGTCTAGGGAATCGGTTTTCCTTTTATTTCCGTCCTCAATCTCATATTGCTTCTGGTTTTTATGTTTGGGCGTTAAAATTGAGGTCCTATGCATGAGGACCTCCAGCGTCACCGGAATCCCCCATAGGAAAGCACTGAATAATGCTTTCCTATGGGGAAATACTAATTGCTGCGCATGCGCACTAGGTCTCCCGCGGCGGAGGAGGAGCGTGGGCGGAGCTGAGCCAGCGCCAAGAGATATTGGTTATTAACCCCTTTAACACCACAGAGGTGGTCCTTGACAAAGGAGTAAGCTATAGTGCCAGGAAAACAAGTTTATTTTCCTGGCACTATAGTTTCCCTTTAAATCCTGGCAGGATTTTAAAGAAATTCTGTACTGTTTGTCTGCTAGCGTTGCTATCAGTCAGTGAGCAAATTATTAAATCCTTGGTGGTGTGAGGGTTAATTATGTGGTGGCTGGCAAGTTCATGAAAGTCAGACACCATATTTGATATTTTTTTATAAAAAATCAAATCAATAAAAATCCTTTTGGGGGTCAGTAAGATGTCAATGTTACTAAAATGGAGGTATTTTAAGTTTTACACTTTTTTATACATTTTTCATGAGAAAAAGATGAGGGATCTAAAGAAACGTATTGCGTAAGTCAGAAATGTTTAAAAAAGCGATTAGGGAGTAAATGAGTTGTAGTAACCCTTTAAACATGAGATTGACTTTGAATTTTGATTTGAGTGAATAATAATGAGTGTGTTTGCCTTTAAGGACACAATACTAAATGAATAACCCTCAGAAAAGAGTGAATGGAAGATTGCATTGAGTTGATCGCCCTCTTGTGGTGGGAGAGAAAACGAAAAAGCAAAAATAAGCCTACAACACCCGGCTGGTCTTGGTCTATCCGTAACCTTCTCGCAGCCACTGTAACCGTAACCTACTCGCAACCGTCTCCCATCCAAGACCTGCCCAGGCTCCTCCTTGCTGCGCTTCCGAGATCGTGGGATCGGGCAGATTCATGGAGCTACAGCCGTAGGCCGGAAGTGCAGCTTGACAAAGATCCTCTTATCCTTCTCCCAGGCTCCGTCAGCACTGGCTGCTGCTCCCACTCACTGCTCTCACAGAGCTTCACATTGGAGCTTCTTTCAAGCAATCAATGTGCTTCTCAAATGGAGCTCATTCTCTCACATTCACTCCATCTTCTTATTCACTGATTCCCATTCACATCCTCCAAACTCACACTTTCTTTTAGCTCTTCTTATTTTATTTTAACACAACTGGAGCCTGCTTTTATTCACATTTATTACTCTGCCTCTTCAACACTAGCCCAGCTTTACTGCCTGGCTACAGAGCTCCCTGCACTATACATACAGAGCTCCATCATACAGAGCTTCCTACACAATACATACAGAGCTCCATCATACAGAGCCCCCTGCACTGTACATACAGAGCTCCATCATACAGAGCTCCCTGCACCATACATACAGAGCTCCCTACACTATACATACAGAGCTCCATCATACAGAGCTCCCTGCACTATACATACAGAGCTCCCTCAGACAGAGCTCCCTGCACTATACATACAGAGCTCCATCATACAGAGCTCCATCATACAGAGCTCCCTGCACTATTCATACAGAGCTCCTTCAACTATACATACAGAGCTCCATCATACAGAGCTCCCTGAACTATACATACAGAGCTTCATCTACAGAGCTCCCTACACTATACAAAGAGAGCTCCAACATACAGAGCTCCCTGCACTGTACATACAGAGCTCCATCATACAGAGCTCCCTGCACTGTACATACAGAGCTCCATCATACAGAGCTCCCTGCATTATACATACAGAGCTCCATCATACAGAGCTCCCTGCACTATACATACAGAGCTCCATCATACAGAGCTCCCTACACTATACATACAGAGCTCCATCATACAGAGCTTCCTACACTGTACATACAGAGCTCCCTGCACTATATATACAGAGCTCCATCATACAGAGCTCCCTGCACTATACATACAGAGCTCCATCATACAGAGCTCCCTGCACTGTACATACAGAGCTCCATCAAACAGAGCTCCCTGCACTATACATACAGAGCAGCATCAAACAGAGCTCCCTACACTATACATACAGAGCTCCCTGCACTATACATACAGAGCTCCAACATACAGAGCTCCCTGCACTATACATACAGAGCTCCATCATACAGAGCTCGCTCCACTATACATACAGAGCTCCATCATACAGAGCTCCCTGCACTATACATACAGAGCTCCCTGCATTATACATACAGAGCTGCTTCAACTATACATACAGAGCTCCACCATACAGAGCTCCCTGCACTAAACATACAGAGCTCCCTGCACTATACATACAGAGCTCCTTCAACTATACATACAGAGCTCCATCATACAGAGCTCCCTGCACTATACACACAGAGCTCCATCATACAGAGCTCCCTGAACTATACATACAGAGCTCCTTCAACTATACATAGAGAGCTCCATCATACAGTGCACCCTGCACTATACATACAGAGCTCCATCATACAGGGCTCCCTGAACTATACATACAGAGCTCCATCATACAGAGCTCCCTGCACTATATTACAGAGCTCCATCTTACAGAGCTCCCTGCACTATACATACAGAGCTCCCTGCATTATACATACAGAGCTGCTCCAACTATACATACAGAGCTCCACCATACAGAGCTCCCTGCACTAAACATACAGAGCTCCCTGCACTATACATACAGAGCTCCTTCAACTATACATACAGAGCTCCATCATACAGAGCTCCCTGCACTATACATACAGAGCTCCATCATACAGAGCTCCCTGAACTATACATACAGAGCTCCTTCAACTATACGTACAGAGCTCCATCATACAGTGCACCCTGCACTATACATACAGAGCTCCATCATACAGGGCTCCCTGAACTATACATACAGAGCTCCATCATACAGAGATCCTTCAACTATACATACAGAGCTCCATCATACAGAGCTCCCTGCACTATACATACAGAGCTCCATCATACAGAGCTCCCTGCACTATACATACAGAGCTCCCTGCACTATATATACAGAGCTCCATCATACAGAGGTCCCTGCACTATACATACAGAGCTCCATCATACAGAGCTCCCTGCACTATACATACAGAGCTCCATCATACAGGGCTCCCTGAACTATACATACAGAGCTCCTTCAACTATACATACAGAGCTCCATCATACAGAGATCCCTGAACTATACATACAGAGCTCCATCATACAGAGCTCCCTGCACTATACATACAGAGCTCCATCATACAGTGCACCCTGCACTATACATACCGAGCTCCATCATACAGAGCTCCCTGCACTATACATACAGAGCTCCATCATACAGAGCTCCTTCAACTATACATAAAGTGCTCCATCATACAGAGCTCCTTCAACTATACATAAAGTGCTCCATCATACAGAGCTCCCTGCACTGTACATACAGAGCTCCATCATACAGAGCTCCCTGCGCTATACATACAGAGCTCCAACATACAGAGCTCCCTGCACTATACATACAGAGCTCCATCCACTATACATACAGAGCTCCATCATACAGAGCTCCCTGCACCATACATACAGAGCTCCATCATACAGAGCTCCCTGCACTTGACATACAGAGCTCCCTGCACTATATATACAGAGCTCCATCATACAGAGCTCCCTGCACTATACATACAGAGCTCCATTATACAGAGCTCCCTGCACTATATATAAAGAGCTCCATTATACAGAGCTCCCTGCACTATACATACAGAGCTCCCTGAACTATACATGGGCTCCTTCCCACAGAGCTCCCTGCCTTCACTATGCATAGACTTCCACATACAGAGCCATACATGATCCCATACAGAGCTCCCTAAAGTATACATGACTTCACACATAGTTCATTGCATTATACATACTGAGCTCCATCATACAGAGCTCCCTGCACTATACATACTGAGCTCCCTCATACAGAGCTCCCTGCACTATATATGGGCTCCCTCATACAAAGCTCCCTACACTATACATACAGAGCTCCATCATACAGAGCTCCCTGCACTATATATGGGCTCCCTCATACAAAGCTCCCTACACTATACATACTGAGCTCCATCATACAGAGCTCCCTGCACTATACATACTGAGCTCCCTCATACAGAGCTCCCTGCACTATATATGGGCTCCCTCATACAAAGCTCCCTACACTATACATACTGAGCTCCATCATACAGAGCTCCCTGCACTATACATACTGAGCTCCCTCATACAGAGCTCCCTGCACTATATATGGGCTCCCTCATACAAAGCTCCCTACACTATACATACAGAGCTCCCCTGCACTGTATATGGGCTCCCTCATACAGAGCTCCTTGCACTATACATGGGCTCCCTCAGAGAGCTCCCTGCCCTATACATGGGCTCCCCTATACAGAGCTCCCTGCAGTACACATGGACTTCTTCCTACAATACATGTCCTTTGCATACATTCTCTCACATTCACTCCATCTTCTTATTCACGGATTCTCATTCACATCCTCCAAACTCACACTTTCTTTTAGCTCTTCTTATTTTATTTTAACACAACTGGAGCCTGCTTTTATTCACATTTATTACTCTGCCTCTGCAAAAAAAGCCCAGCTTTACTGCCTGGCTACAGAGCTCCCTGCACTATATTACAGAGCTCCATCTTACAGAGCTCCCTGCACTATACATACAGAGCTCCCTGCATTATACATACAGAGCTGCTTCAACTATACATACAGAGCTCCACCATACAGAGCTCCATCATACAGAGCTCCCTGCACTATACACACAGAGCTCCATCATACAGAGCTCCCTGAACTATACATACAGAGCTCCTTCAACTATACATACAGAGCTCCATCATACAATGCACCCTGCACTATACATACAGAGCTCCACCATACAGAGCTCTCTGCACTATACATACAGAGCTCCTTCAACTATACATACAGAGCTCCATCATACAGAGATCCCTGCACTATACATACAGAGCTCCATCATACAGAGCTCCCTGCACTATACATACAGAGCTCCATCATACAGAGCTCCCTGCACTATACATACAGAGCTCCTTCAACTATACATACAGTGCTCCATCATACAGAGCTCCCTGCACTATACATACCGAGCTCCATCATACAGAGCTCCCTGCACTATACATACAGAGCTCCATCATACAGTGCACCCTGCACTATACATACCGAGCTCCATCATACAGAGCTCCCTGCACTATACATACAGAGTTCCATCATACAGAGCTCCCTGCACTATATATACAGAGCTCCATTATACAGAGCTCCCTGCACTGTACATACAGAGCTCCATCATACAGATCTCCATCATACAGAGCCCCCTGCACTGTACATACAGAGCTCCATCATACAGAGCCCCCTGCACTATACATACAGAGCTCCATCATACAGAGCTCCCTACACTATACATACAGAGCTCCATCATACAGAGCTTCCTACACTGTACATACAGAGCTCCCTGCACTATATATACAGAGCTCCATCATACAGAGCTCCCTGCACTATACATACAGAGCTCCATCATACAGAGCTCCCTGCACTGTACATACAGAGCTCCATCAAACAGAGCTCCCTGCACTATACATACAGAGCAGCATCAAACAGAGCTCCCTACACTATACATACAGAGCTCCCTGCACTATACATACAGAGCTCCAACATACAGAGCTCCCTGCACTATACATACAGAGCTCCATCATACAGAGCTCGCTCCACTATACATACAGAGCTCCATCATACAGAGCTCCCTGCACTATACATACAGAGCTCCCTGCATTATACATACAGAGCTGCTTCAACTATACATACAGAGCTCCACCATACAGAGCTCCCTGCACTAAACATACAGAGCTCCTTCAACTATACATACAGAGCTCCATCATACAGAGCTCCCTGCACTATACACACAGAGCTCCATCATACAGAGCTCCCTGAACTATACATACAGAGCTCCTTCAACTATACATAGAGAGCTCCATCATACAGTGCACCCTGCACTATACATACAGAGCTCCATCATACAGGGCTCCCTGAACTATACATACAGAGCTCCATCATACAGAGCTCCCTGCACTATATTACAGAGCTCCATCTTACAGAGCTCCCTGCACTATACATACAGAGCTCCCTGCATTATACATACAGAGCTGCTCCAACTATACATACAGAGCTCCACCATACAGAGCTCCCTGCACTAAACATACAGAGCTCCCTGCACTATACATACAGAGCTCCTTCAACTATACATACAGAGCTCCATCATACAGAGCTCCCTGCACTATACATACAGAGCTCCATCATACAGAGCTCCCTGAACTATACATACAGAGCTCCTTCAACTATACGTACAGAGCTCCATCATACAGTGCACCCTGCACTATACATACAGAGCTCCATCATACAGGGCTCCCTGAACTATACATACAGAGCTCCATCATACAGAGATCCTTCAACTATACATACAGAGCTCCATCATACAGAGCTCCCTGCACTATACATACAGAGCTCCATCATACAGAGCTCCCTGCACTATACATACAGAGCTCCATCATACAGAGCTCCCTGCTATACTACAGAGCTCCATCATACAGAGCTCCATCATACAGAGCTCCCTGAACTATACATACAGAGCTCCATCATACAGGGCTCCCTGAACTATACATACAGAGCTCCTTCAACTATACATACAGAGCTCCATCATACAGAGATCCCTGAACTATACATACAGAGCTCCATCATACAGAGCTCCCTGCACTATACATACAGAGCTCCATCATACAGTGCACCCTGCACTATACATACCGAGCTCCATCATACAGAGCTCCCTGCACTATACATACAGAGCTCCATCATACAGAGCTCCTTCAACTATACATAAAGTGCTCCATCATACAGAGCTCCTTCAACTATACATAAAGTGCTCCATCATACAGAGCTCCCTGCACTGTACATACAGAGCTCCATCATACAGAGCTCCCTGCGCTATACATACAGAGCTCCAACATACAGAGCTCCCTGCACTATACATACAGAGCTCCATCCACTATACATACAGAGCTCCATCATACAGAGCTCCCTGCACCATACATACAGAGCTCCATCATACAGAGCTCCCTGCACTTGACATACAGAGCTCCCTGCACTATATATACAGAGCTCCATCATACAGAGCTCCCTGCACTATACATACAGAGCTCCCTGCGCTATACATACAGAGCTCCAACATACAGAGCTCCCTGCACTATACATACAGAGCTCCATCCACTATACATACAGAGCTCCATCATACAGAGCTCCCTGCACTGTACATACAGAGCTCCATCATACAGAGCTCCCTGCACTATACATACAGAGCTCCATCATACAGAGCTCCCTGCACTTGACATACAGAGCTCCATCATACAGAGCTCCCTGAACTATACATGGGCTCCTTCACACAGAGCTCCCTGCCTTCACTATGCATAGACTTCCATATACAGAGCCATACATAGCTCCCTAAAGTATACATGACTTCACACATCGTTCCTTGCATTATACATACTGAGCTCCATCATACAGGGCTCCCTGAACTATACATACAGAGCTCCTTCAACTATACATACAGAGCTCCATCATACAGAGATCCCTGAACTATACATACAGAGCTCCATCATACAGAGCTCCCTGCACTATACATACAGAGCTCCATCATACAGTGCACCCTGCACTATACATACCGAGCTCCATCATACAGAGCTCCCTGCACTATACATACAGAGCTCCATCATACAGAGCTCCTTCAACTATACATAAAGTGCTCCATTATACAGAGCTCCTTCAACTATACATAAAGTGCTCCATCATACAGAGCTCCCTGCACTGTACATACAGAGCTCCATCATACAGAGCTCCCTGCACTATACATACAGAGCTCCATCCACTATACATACAGAGCTCCATCATACAGAGCTCCCTGCACTATACATACAGAGCTCCATCATACAGAGCTCCCTGCACTATACATACAGAGCTCCATCATACAGAGCTCCCTGAACTATACATACAGAGCTCCATCATACAGGGCTCCCTGAACTATACATACAGAGCTCCTTCAACTATACATACAGAGCTCCATCATACAGAGATCCCTGAACTATACATACAGAGCTCCATCATACAGAGCTCCCTGCACTGTACATACAGAGCTCCATCATACAGAGCTCCCTGCACTATACATACAGAGCTCCATCATACAGAGCTCCCTGCACTTGACATACAGAGCTCCATCATACAGAGCTCCCTGAACTATACATGGGCTCCTTCACACAGAGCTCCCTGCCTTCACTATGCATAGACTTCCATATACAGAGCCATACATAGCTCCCTAAAGTATACATGACTTCACACATCGTTCCTTGCATTATACATACTGAGCTCCATCATACAGAGCTCTCTGCACTATACATACTGAGCTCCCTCATACAGAGCTCCCTACACTATACATACAGAGCTCCATTATACAGAGCTCCCTATACTATACATACAGAGCTCCGTGCACTTGACATACAGAGCTCCATCATACAGAGCTCCCTGAACTATACATACAGAGCTCCCTGCACTTGACATACAGAGCTCCATCATACAGAGCTCCCTGAACTATACATGGGCTCCTTCACACAGAGCTCCCTGCCTTCACTATGCATAGACTTCCATATACAGAGTCATACATAGCTCCCTAAAGTATACATGACTTCACACATCGTTCCTTGCATTATACATATTGAGCTCCATCATACAGAGCTCTCTGCACTATACATACTGAGCTCCATCATACAGAGCTCCCTGCACTATACATACAGAGCTCCCTGCACTGTACATACAGAGCTCCATCATACAGAGCTCCCTGCACTATACATACAGAGCTCCATCATACAGAGCTCCCTGCACTAGACATACAGAGCTCCATCATACAGAGCTCCCGACACTATACATACAGAGCTCCCTGCACTATATATACAGAGCTCCATCATACAGAGCTCCCTGCACTATACATACAGAGCTCCATCATACAGAGCTCCCTGCACTATACATACAGAGCGCCATCATACAGAGCTCCCTGCACTATACATACAGAGCTCCCTGCACTATATATACAGAGCTCCATCATACAGAGCTCCCTGCACTATACATACAGAGCTCCATCATACAGAGCTCCCTGCACTATACATACAGAGCTCCATCATACAGAGCTCCTTCAACTATACATACAGTGCTCCATCATACAGAGCTCCCTGCACTATACATACCGAGCTCCATCATACAGAGCTCCCTGCACTATACATACAGAGCTCCAACATACAGAGCTCCCTACACTATACATACAGAGCAGCATCAAACAGAGCTCCCTGCACTATACATACAGAGCTCCCTGCACTGTACATGCAGAGCTCCGTCATACAGAGCTCCCTGCACTATACATACAGAGCTCCAACATACAGAGCTCCCTGCACTATACATACAGAGCTCCATCATACAGAGCTCCCTCCACTATACATAAAGAGCTCCATCATACAGAGCTCCCTGCACTATACATACAGAGCTCCATTATACAGAGCTCCCTGCACTATACATACAGAGCCCCATCATACAGAGCTCCCTGCACTATACAATACAGAGCTCCCTGCACTAGACATACAGAGCTCCATCATACAGAGCTCCCTGCACTATACATACAGAGCTCCCTGCACTATACATACAGAGCTTCATCATACAGAGCTCCCTGCACTATACATACAGAGCTCCATAATACAGAGCTCCATCATACAGAGCTTCCTACACTATACATACAGAGCTCCATCATACAGAGCTCCCTGCACTATACATACAGAGCTCCATCATACAGAGCTCCCTGCACTCTACATACAGAGCTCCCTGCACTATACATACAGAGCTCCATTATACAAAGCTCCCTGCACTATACATACAGAGCTCCATCATACAGAGCTCCCTACACTATACATACAGAGCTCCATCATACAGAGCTCCCTGCACTATACATACAGAGCTCCAACATACAGAGCTCCCTACACTATACATACAGAGCAGCATCAAACAGAGCTCCCTGCACTATACATACAGAGCTCCCTGCACTGTACATGCAGAGCTCCGTCATACAGAGCTCCCTGCACTATACATACAGAGCTCCAACATACAGAGCTCCCTGCACTATACATACAGAGCTCCATCATACAGAGCTCCTTGCACTATACATACAGAGCTCCATTATACAAAGCTCCCTGCACTATACATACAGAGCTCCATTATACAGAGCTCCCTGCACTATACATACAGAGCTCCATTATACAGAGCTCCCTGCACTATACATACAGAGCTCCATCATACAGAGCTCCCTGCACTATACATACAGAGCTCCATTATACAGAGCTCCCTGCACTATACATACAGAGCTCCATTATACAGAGCTCCCTGCACTATACATACAGAGCTCCCTGAACTATACATGGGCTCCTTCACACAGAGCTCCCTGCCTTCACTATGCATAGACTTCCACATACAAAGCCATACATGATCCCATACAGAGCTCCCTAAAGTATACATGACTTCCCACATAGTTCCTTGCATTATACATACTGAGCTCCATCATACAGAGCTCCTTGCACTATACATACTGAGCTCCCTCATACAGAGCTCCCTGCACTATACATACCGAACTCCATCATACAGAGCTCTCTGCACTATACATACTGAGCTCCATCATACAGAGCTCCCTGCACTATACATACAGAGCTCCATAATACAGAGCTCCCTGCACTATACATACAGAGCTCCTTCAACTATACATACAGAGCTCCATCATACAGTGCACCCTGCACTATACATACAGAAGCTCCCTCATACAGATCTCCTTGCACTATACATGGGCTCCCTCATACCAAGCTTCTGGAGCTTACTGTCAAATATTCCCCTAGAACAGACTGTTGTTGATCTAGTTTAAATGATTCCCATTTAAAAGACATTACATCCAAACACAGCCCTGCAATCAAATGCAAATATTACATACAAACACACCCGTGTATTAAAACACTAAAATTAGATAGAAAGATCCCTTCATTTAAACTCCAATACTACACACAGGCATACCTGCATTTGAAAGTCAACACTACGTACAAACAGACCCCTGCATTTAACACAAACACTACACACAAGTACACCACTGCAATGCAATGGCAACAGTACATACAAATACACCGCTACATGCACACATATACCCTATGCAAAAGCATGCTTACAAATACAAACCCTGCAAGGATGGGGAAATTGTAGATTCCTAGCTGGTATAGCATCATTGGAGATGTACGACAAATTGGGATCTACCTTTTAACCACTCTTGCACAAGAAGTGGGCCCAAAACTTCCCTTCACCAGGACACTCTCTAAATGAGTTATGCCACTGCAAATAGGGTTATGCACTAAAATACCAATAGCCCCGTACCCAATGGGGCAAAACCATTTGCTGTTGTACAGGACCATTCAGGCTTCAAAATTCAGACATTGTTCATGCAATTTGGAAACAGGCCTGAATTATGTGCGGATTTCAGCCAGTTGAAATGTCACCGGATGGCTCAAATCTGGAGCAAATCCAGAGAATTTAAAGGGACACTGTAAGCACCCAGAACACTTCAGCTCATTGAAGTGGTCTGGGTGCAAACTCCCATCACCCTTAACCCTAGAGTGGTAATTATTGTAGTTTTTATAAACTGCAATAATTACCTGCTCGGGTTAACTCCTCCTACCAGACAGCCACTAGAGGGACTTTCGGGCTTGAAGGCAACTTTTCGTCGCATAAACGACACTGGACGCCCTCATGCTATGCATGAGGACCTCCAGCGTCACCGGAATCCCCCATAGGAAAGCACTGAATAATGATTTCCTATGGGGAAATACTAATTGCTGCACATGCGCATTAGGTCTCCCGCGGCAGAGGAGGAGCGTGGGCGGAGCTGAGCCAGCGCCAAGGGATATTGGTGTTGGACCCAGGTAAGTGATAGAAGGGATAGTTATTAACCCCTTTAACACCACAGAGGTGGTCCTTGACAAAGGAGTAAGCTATAGTGCCAGGAAAACAAGTTTATTTTCCTGGCACTATAGTTTCCCTTTAAATCCTGGCAGGATTTAAAAAAAATTCTGTACTGTTTGTCTGCTAGCGTTGCTATCAGTCAGTGAGCAAATTATTAAATCCTTGGTGGTGTGAGGGTTAATTATGTGGTGGCTGGCCAGTTCATGAAAGTCAGACACCATATTTGATATTTTTTTTATAAAAAATCAAATCAATAAAAATCCTTTTGGGGGTCAGTAAGATGTCAATGTTACTAAAATGGAGGTATTTTAAGTTTTACACTTTTTTATACATTTTTCATGAGAAAAAGATGAGGGATCTAAAGAAACGTATTGCGTAAGTCAGAAATGTTTAAAAAAGTGATTAGGGAGTAAATGAGTTGTAGTAACCCTTTAAACATGAGATTGACTTTGAATTTTGATTTGAGTGAATAATAATGAGTGTGTTTGCCTTTAAGGACACAATAATAAATGAATAACCCTCAGAAAAGAGTGAATGGAAGATTGCATTGAGTTGATCGCCCTCTTGTGGTGGGAGAGAAAACGAAAAAGCAAAAATAAGCCTACAACACCCGGCTGGTCTTGGTCTATCCGTAACCTTCTCGCAGCCACTGTAACCGTAACCTACTCGCAACCGTCTCCCATCCAAGACCTGCCCAGGCTCCTCCTTGCTGCGCTTCCGAGATCGTGGGATCGGGCAGATTCATGGAGCTACAGCCGTAGGCCGGAAGTGCAGCTTGACAAAGATCCTCTTATCCTTCTCCCAGGCTCCGTCAGCACTGGCTGCTGCTCCCACTCACTGCTCTCACAGAGCTTCACATTGGAGCTTCTTTCAAGCAATCAATGTGCTTCTCAAATGGAGCTCATTCTCTCACATTCACTCCATCTTCTTATTCACTGATTCCCATTCACATCCTCCAAACTCACACTTTCTTTTAGCTCTTCTTATTTTATTTTAACACAACTGGAGCCTGCTTTTATTCACATTTATTACTCTCCCTTTTCAACACTAGCCCAGCTTTACTGCCTGGCTATAGAGCTCCCTACACTATGCATACAGAGCTCCCTGCACTATATATACAGAGCTCCATTATACAGAGCTCCCTGCAATGTAATACAGAGCTCCATCAAACAGAGCTCCCTGCACTATACATACAGAGCTCCATCAAACAGAGCTCCCTGCACTATACATACAGAGCTCCATCATACAGAGCTCCCTGCACTATACATACAGAGCTCCAACATACAGAGCTCCCTGCACTATACATACAGAGCTCCAACTTACAGAGCTCCCTGCACTATACATACAGAGCTCCACCACACAGAGCTCCCTGCACTATACATACAGAGCTCCTTCAAATATACATACAGAGCTCCATCATACAGAGCTCCCTGCACTATACATACAGAGCTCCATCATACAGAGCTCCTTCAACTATACATACAGAGCTCCATCATACAGTGCACCCTGCACTATACATACAGAGCTCCATCATACAGGGCTCCCTGCACTATACATACAGAGCTCCATTATACAAACCCCCTGCACTATACATACAGAGCTCCATCATACAGAGCTCCCTACACTATACATACAGAGCTCCACCATACAGAGCTCCCTGCACTATACATACAGAGCTCCTTCAACTATACATACAGAGCTCCATCATACAGAGCTCCCTGCACTATACATACAGAGCTCCACCATACAGAGCTCCCTGAACTATACACACAGAGCTCCTTCAACTATACATACAGAGCTCCATCATACAGAGCTCCCTGCACTATACATACAGAGCTCCATCATACAGAGCTCCCTGCACTATACATACAGAGCTCCACCATACAGAGCTCCCTGCACTATACATACAG